TTGGGAGTTTTTAAAAATTATTACGTTTCAGGGGCTGGCCCCGTGGCCGAGTGGTTAAGTTCGCGCGCTCCGCTGTAGGCGGCCCAGTGTTTCGTTGGTTCGAATCCTGGGTTTGGACATGGCACTGCTCATCAAACCACGCTGAGGCAGCGTCCCACATGCCACAAGTAGAAGGACCCACAACAAAGAATATGCAACTATGTACTGGGGGGCTTTGGGGAGAAAAAGGAAAAAAAAAATCTTAAAAAAAAAAGTTTGTTTAAAAAAAAATTATTACGTTTCAAAGATGAACTAGGATATGGCTATACTTGGGTCAATTTTCATTACTTTTGCCCAGTATTTAGTATTACCTTGTCCTGAGTCCTTCAGCTTTTCATCAGTCTCTGGAAGTTTCTTCCCCACAAATGTTTGATATTTTCTTCCTTCTCATTTCTTCTGCCCTTGTAAGGTTACCTGTATATCAGTTTCTGCTCTTTCTACTCCTTACCTAGCTTTTCCTTCTTCTTCATCTGATATTTCTTTGTGTTTTCCTTGGGATGGAAGAAATTTGCTTTCTACCGATTGATTCTACTGTTGTTTTCTTCTTATGAAGATTTAAATTCTGCTATTGAATTTCCAGTTTCAGTGAAGTATTTCCTAAAGAAACACAACTACCTTGAAATTCTGCTCCTTCCTCAGCTAGTCCTCTCCTGCTTTTTACAAAATCTCATTCTATTTTCTCAGATCTCTTGTTTCATCAAGGCCATGTTTTCTCAAATTGTATTGAGAACACAGTGGTGAGTTTAATAATGTTTCCTGAAATAGCTGTTTTTTAAAAATAAGTTTTTCTTCATATTATTGTATGTTTTAAAGTTACTTCATTTTTTTTTTTTTCTGCTAAGTCTTCTTTACAAATGGAGAAGTCTGTTCAAAACTGGAGTTTATCTCCCTCTCCTGCAGGATTACCATGAGGCTCCTTCTCACAGAACTTGTGCTGAGTGCCCGTTGATAAAAATCAACACCACAGGAAGGTCCTAGAAGTTAAAGGGGAAGGCAGGAAGGAAGATGGATCTCTACAAAGTCAGACAGAGGCGTTTCGTGTCTTCTGTCTTTCCCTCTGCCATTTGATGTATCTGTAGTGCTAGAATTCACACTCAGTGTCTGAGTTTTTGCTTTGACCTCAGTACCAGGTTTCTGCAATGGCTGTGTCTTACTCCTTTCTGATACTTCAGCTTTTTAGAGAAGGAAAAGACCCTAACACACTTGTTTTTCTGCATGTTGTAGAGGCTGTGTGACTAGTGGGCCGTGTAACATGGGCGCTCTGCGTTATGCTAAATAGTGTGTGTCCATCTCTCATGGCCTGTCCACACTTCCCGCTCCCAACCCTGCGAATTAAGGTGCATTAGTGGAACTCTGCCAACCATGCTTTGTTTACTTCCTTCAATGCTGGGTAGTTTTCTGGTGGTGTGGCTAGTTCTTTAGGCCCTTAATGTCTTTTTAATTAGGTTCAATATGCAGTATATCAGGAGAAATTCCTCGAAGTTCTTCACATCTTCATAGGGCTGCTTGTCAGTTTATAGTGTTGATGCAGGATTTTCTACAGTTGTATGTTTATTGGTCATTACAGTTGAGGTTCTGAAAGCCTATCGTTTTTTGTGTGTGTCTGGGATCAGAACCAAGTGGGAGAGAGTACAAAAATCAATGGAGATCATGCTCCTCAATTACCAATAAGCTGTTTTGAATGTGGCATAGATGGTGACAGTTGGGAGTGCAAATACTTTTTTCTTAACAAGGCTTCCACACCTGGCCGCAAGCAGCACTGGCAATCAGAGACCTTCTCTTCCTAGCACAGAGTGGGCCTGGCTGCTGTGTGCCTAGAGAGCATTCCAAAATCTGCAGTTTCTGCAAACAGGTGGATCCAAGGAGTGCCAGGGAGGGACTGAACCACCCGTGCCCAGCTCAGTCCCCAGTTAACTCATCCTGTGAGTCTCCTCTCAGGAGGACCAGTGGAGGGGCCGCAGAGTCTGGCAGTATTACTCTAATAGCGATGTAATGTGAGATGGAGAAGTTAAGTGCAACTCCTGAACAATTAAGATGATGATCCAGAAGTTGCATATATTCAAGCCATCATCTTCCCTAGATGTTTCTGGAGCATAAAAGTGAGAGGTGATGTAAGAACACTTACTTTCATGGATCTGAGGTTTGTTTTCTTTTAATATAATTCTCTCAAAATCTGACAAACCAAGATGCCTATGTTCTGACTTTTTACTGAAAATTATATTTGTTACCCTAAGTATAAAATCCTACTACGAGTTTAATTTTGTGTGTGGCTGTGAATCCCATTAGAACTTAAGTATCCTTGAGTAATTTATTATTATACCCTTAATAAAATGCGTAACTGCAAGTCAAATTGTCACTTTTACTTGAGTTTACCTAGGAAATAGTAAACCTTCCAGTCTGTGAAATTTAGTATCCCATTTAATATAATATGACTGCAGTAAATGGGTAGGCAATTAAATTTCTTAAACATATGCATTCGATGAATTGATTTGTTTCTAGTAGCTCTCGGCCCATGGTTTAGAAGAGTTTCTGAAAGATTTAGAGTTTCAGATTTTCAAATACCTTTTGCTCTATTACAGAATGTTAGAGGAACTGAGTGTTCTGTTTTAGGTCAGCAGGATTTTTCTGTCTGTTTGGGGCTTCAGTAACTTTCTTTCAGAGTCTACCTTACAAAAGAGGATATGTTAATTCTCAAAGAAAGGTAAATAGACACAATCATTGACCTGAAAATAGCCACCCTGAGCCTTCCCTTGAGGTAATTTTATCTTTCATTTGTATAAGAAAAGCCAAGGGAGAGATTCATTTACCCTAAGCAGTTAATCTTAATGAGCCCATCGCTCTCGAATCGCTCTGCTTTACTTTAGCTGTAACCTTTATGATTATCTAACATTAATTAATTTTAGATAATAAAATTAATTAATGCATTAATTTGTTTTCTTGTTTATTATCTGGCTGCCATATCAAAACATAAGTTGTCCCAGAGCGAGGAACTTAAATATCTTTTCCATCAGAGCATTCCTGGCTGGGTGCACTGGAAAGATTGTTTGAAGCAAGAACAGTGAATTTGCCTAGAGCACTTATTCCTTAGGGCAGAGATCAGAAATCCGTGGCCTGCAGGATCTTGCTGGAAGAGTTTGTTTGGTGTATGCACTATCTTTTTTTTTCCCTTTTAATTGAGTAAGTTAAACATTTATAAATTGGATTTCAAATAAACGCCTGAGTTTCTGGCTTCTCGTGAAAACTTGAAAGAGTTGGCAGCCCTGGCCTCACGTCACTATGTGGCGTCACCAGCAGGGACTGAGTAATGGCTGTCACACGTTAGACAGGGCACCTTTTATTTTTTCAAACCTATTTGACCACTGAAGGCTTTGAGTTTGGTACCCTTGCTTTCAAACCAGTCCTAAATTTTATTATAAATAAGAGCAAATAGTAGCATAGCTTAAATGTAATCCTTTTGCATTTGACAATACAAATTGTTGACGTATGGGTAAGACAAAGATGAATAGTTGAGTAGGACAGAGAGGTTATGTGTAAATAGCTAATGAACAATAGAAAGTGGTAAGTCCTATTTTAGTGGAATTCCATCATACCTACCTTTCATTTACATGAATTGAAATATCTAAAATGGTTGTAAAAGAGAGAGAGAGGAGGCCAGAAAGGAGATAGATAGTTAAGGAAGAAAGGTGTGTAAGCAGAAGAGGGGAGCAGTAGAGAATAAAAGAGAAAGAGGTGCTATTCTGTGGGTTCTGCCTGTACTGCATCCATGTTTGCACCAGAATAAGTGTGATATGGGGCAAGCGAATCTTCCTTTCCCACTGTTGGTCTCATTTACATTGTGCCTTTCCCTCTGTTGCTGTCAATGAAATATTTAGGTGTGAATTCTGCTTATGTCTTGGCTCTTTAAATACAAATTTGCGGGGCTGGCCCCGTGGCCGAGTGGTTAAGTTCGCGCACTCGCTGCAGGCGGCCCAGTGTTTCATTGGTTCGAATCCTGGGCGCGGACATGGCACTGCTCATCAGACCACGCTGAGGCAGCGTCTCACATGCCACAACTAGAAGGACCCACAACGAAGAATATACAACTATGTACCAGGGGGCTTTGGGGAGACAAAGGAAAAAAAAAAAAAAATCCAAAAAAAAAAAAAAAAATACAAATTTGCTACTGCACTGCTGTTTAACTGAACCAGCAAGAGCTTGTTTTCCACCTTGGGAGAAAAACTGGCTAGACTTTGATGCGGGGTCACTGAGCCGAGGAGTCAAAAGAAAGATTTCTTGAACTCTCAAGGTCTGGCAGTAGTGCTCTTTTATTTAGAGAATAGTATGGAATAGCATGGGGACAGGACCCATGGGCAGCATGAGCTGCTACTTCAAACCTGGGTGGAGAGTAAGGCTAAATTTAAGGCATAGGTATGTGAGTTATCTCTGTACAAGACAAAGGAAAGAATATGTAAAAAGAGTTGTTAAAATGGTATCAGTGCCGGTAGGTTCTGGTTATTGGGTGGTCCTGTAACTTTTAGATAGGAATCAAACTGAATTAAGTAAATGGCAGAAGCCACCACTTAAATATTATCTTCAGCTAAAGACGAAGGAGGATGTTGGGGGGAGGTCACTTACATGAGGTTGCCAGACAGTAAATAACTTAAGTTCTTGCCTTCCCCATTAAGAGTTGACTTCCTTCACAAATGCAAATGTCTCTCATCAAAGGGCAAGCAAATTCCACTCCTCAGACCCTCCTTCTCATCTGCAGTTTTAAAAGTAACCAGCCTAAAATAATCCTCATCAGACTTGACTTAGGAATTACTGATCTTCTTTATAAGGGATTCTTTTTTTATTTTTGCTGAGGGAGATTCACTCTGAGCTAACATCCGTGCCCGTCTTCCTCTGTTTTGTATGTGGGTCATGGCCACAGCATGGCCACCGATGAGTAGTGTAGGTCTGCGCCTGGTAACTGAACCCAGACTGCTGAAGCACAGTGCACCGAACTTTACCACTAGACCATGGGGCTGGCCCCTGTAAGGGATCCTTAAAAGTAATTTTGATTAAACCAAATTTTTGCCTTATGTGCTGACCTAACCCCATGCAACTTCTCTATGTATATTTAAATTACTGGAGCATAGCAGAGGACAGAGGTCTACCTTCTAGGCTAGAGGATCTGGAAATGTTTCACTCTTGGAGCAGCATTTGAGTGGAGCCTCGAAAGATCGTGGGGATGGAGCGCCATCTAGACCTGTGCTAGCCAATATGATAAGCCACTAGCTGCTTGTGAGAATTAAAATTAATGAAAATAAAATAAAGAATTCAGTCCTCACAGGTACTAGCCACATTTCTGGAGTTCACTAAACTCTGTTGACTGGCGGTTATCTGGTACAGAATGTTTCCATTGTTCCGGAAAGTTCTACTGACAGTTCTACTGTCTTCTGATGGTAGACATAGGAAGTAGTTTTCATCATCACAGGAGGTAGAAAGGTAAGGTAAACAGTGGATAGTTAACTTAGAGGATTTCCTCTCTCCCTTGAACCCCCCACCCCAAATAAATTTAATTCTTCCCCAAGAATCAAAAGCTAAGCCAAATAGTACTACTTTCCCAAGAAATTCTGGAATTTTACAACTATTCTAATTCTATATTGGGTGCTTGTTTTTGTTAATGATCTGTGGAATTGCTCAGCTGTTGATACAAACTGGGAAGCAATGTTGGGGAGGTGGAGATATCTTTCCTAGGTATAAAAGAAAGAGGCAGGATAATTACTAATTACTTTAGGAAGTTGTCCTTGTAGTTCTTTATTGACACAGGTTTGAAAGAAAGTTTTGTTTGTTTTTAGGTGTGGTTTGGTATCTTGATGTATGTGTGGTTTATAGTTTTCCTTCATGTAATTTATATGTCATATTTTTTTGATGGGAAAATTGAACCCGACTGAAAATGTTATATGTTGTTTTGCTGCTTCTAAACTTTGTCCCACCTGTCTCCCCTCGCAGTGATTCCTGAATTAGTTATATTGGTTGTCACCAGCGACTCCCAGCTTCTATGTCTTTTTGGCAGTTTTAGAGTCTTGTTTCGAATTATATACAGTCAAAAGCTAGACAATGATTTGTTATTGCCCAACCTCATGTTCTTTTGATTGTATTGCAGTTTGTGATAAAATATCTGTTGATTTGTGATAAATAATTAATACTGTTTGGACTGTTGGAGTTTCCTAGGTAGTGGTTTGTGTCTTGAGGACTAAAGAAAATTTGTCTAGCATGTAATTTATCCACAGCAAAATGAAGAGGGGTATTTCTTTAACCAGGATATTAATGCTTGAGTCCTAAAGTAGTCCCTGGAGTCTTTTTTTTTTTTTTTCTTTTCCATTTTGTTAAAGCAGATGTTACCTTTTTTTTCCTCACAATTTCAGAGATGAGAATTTTAGGGCAGATTTTCTGTGTCAGAACGAAAAGAGTAATTCCTTGGTGTGATAATAGCTACGTAAATGTATTTTTTAAATGTAGAAATTGCACATTTTTTAGAATTGATATTGTCTTGCCAATGGTTAGGAAGAATCTCTCTTTCATCTAGGATATCTTTACCTTTTTCCCCTATTTTTTCTCAAAAATGAAGACCAATGAAGAGAATGAAGAGAATAAATTGATTTATTCCTCAATTTATAGATTGTTGCTGCTATAAAAAAATGCCAAAATAACAGTAGCCTCAGTGTGATAGAAGTTCATTTTTCTCTCACATAAAAATTCCTGTCTAGGGCTGTAGAGCTCCTTCAAGCCGACTTCAAGTCTGGGCTTTCATCTCATGTCCCAGATGGCTGCCATGCCTTCCAGGATAATGTCTCCATTCCAGGCAGTACTGTGGAGGAAGGAGTGGATGGCACCACTTTTTTTCAAGGGCAGAAGCTGGTAATTGTCCCGATCACTTCCACTCCGTCCCATTTTCTGGAATTTGATCACATGGCCTCAGCCAGCTACCAGAGGTGTTGAGAAACAGTCTGTGAGTATTCGTGGTCTCTGCCCAAACTGAATGTTCTTCTCTAAAGAAATAATGGGAAAAGTATATCACGGAACAGGAAGCTGCTTCTGCCGCAAACCAACTACTTGATTTCCATTCAACTTTCAAATAAATTGTGAGTCTTGTCATTGGTAAGACTGACACCAATATGCCATTGGTAAGCACGGTTTTATTTTAGGATTTATTTTGTTCCTAATTAAAAATCTTAATCACAAGGGGAAAATAAAGCAGGGGCTGCCTGTATTTTAGGGCCTGCGTGAAATAGAATCAGGATTGCCCTGCTCAGGAGTCATGGGGTCAGTGTCCATGAGAGTAAACTGTGTGAGAGGTACATCTGAAAGGAGTATTCGGAGAGAATGAGTCAAGTTATTATTGCTGATTTCGGGCCTCATGAAGTACATGGAGTTCTAGGTAACTAATAATGGTCACTGAAATTTTTGCAATCTCAAAAAGAAAAATATTTTTACTGGAGAATAAAAATGTTCTGCTTGAGGCCTGCCTTAGTCTCTAGTAGCAATAAAAGGCTGCGATATATAATGATGCTCATATTTCTTCCTTTTTCAATAGCACTGTGGTAGGGAATGTAAATGTACCAAGTCATATCTAGTGGAAGGAGACAAAATTCAGCCTGTTTTCCTTTTACGCTTGGTTTGATTTTTCTCTGACACATTTATAATCTTTCAGTTTCTTTAGTCTCTAGTTGGCTTGGCAGATTTTCATTCTTTGAGAGGATTGTGTTCTTTCCTTTTAAGAGGAAACATAATTTAGGAAAAGACTGGAAATGGGTTGTCTGAGTGTGTGCATAAAATGCAATTTCTGGTTTTACCGAGAAAATCAAGTATGTATAGGTACAGAGCATCCCACTGAATTGAAAACTTTTATTGAGTTTCTAGTGGTACATACATAAATATCGATACTAGCTAATGTATGTCAGGAATTTCTTGGCTTATTCGTGTTAGCATTTGCAATAGTGCCTGCTTTATGTTTGGGTTCTTTTTCAACATACATATGTTAAACATAACATAGCATGGAGCAAAGAGAGGAAACAGCCAACATAGGCCTTCCTAATGGTTCCTGGGCATTCCCAGATGGTGGGGTACTGTAACTGTTTCCAGGGAGTGAGAAAGCACAGCATCCTGTTTCCACTCTGGGTGTGTACTGGATTTAGGGTCACCTGCATATTTTATTTTTGTTCATTTTCTGCTGGGGATTTAGTTTGGACTCTAAAATCTACTGGACAAATGTGTATCATGTTAAACAATCTTTAAAAGTATACCTTAAATTGCCCTGAAAGTAGGAGGCAGCCATCTCCATGGTCGCCTGTTCCACTGTGCGTATGACACAACTCTAGGGGGCGTCATATTTGTAGATTTCAGTGTGAATAGTGCCCCTTCGGATTGTGTAAGAGGAAGTCTCTGGTCATAGCCTTGAGATTGCTTTGTTAGTTGTAGTATGTTATAGCTAGGATGACTTTATCATTTATCGTCCAAGCTGGGACCCCTTTGAGATTGAAAGGAGACATGATTAATAACTATACTAGAACAACACAGATGAACTCGGATTTTCTTGGAAAAGGGGCACTTATGGTTCTTCTACTTGTAGCAGTCAATATAGAACTTGGTTGCTTACTGAGGTAGGTTAAATAAGTTTTTTTTCTGTTTAAGACATTTCTATTGATACAGCAAGGCAGTGAAACGAAGGGATTAAAGTGAAATGCACTAAGAATGATATCGTCTTCCCATACTGTGTGTTTTCTAAAAGGAATCTTTAGAGGATGCGGTTATTTTTGTTTTGTGGCCATCTTTACAGAGGCTTCAGAATGTTCCTTTCTTTTATGTGTCCAAGTCCAAGTTTCTCCAGCTGCTGAACCGTTAAACTTCTATTGAATCCTAGTAAGGATTTTCCCAGTGAAACGTTTGGGAGAGTACCATTTAACATGTCTTTCTTAGATTCTTTAAATCTGATGTTGCCTTGCTTAGAAACTGCCGGTTGCAAACTTTTATATACAATCTCATTCCAAATGCCTTTTCTTGCCTTTGCATCTCTTTGCATTCTAGCTCCATTTCCTACTCCCCAGCTGAAGTTTTTGCTCTTGCAGATCTCTGTCTCCACTGGCTCTCAAATTGTTGATGTTCATTCTGTTTCCATTATTTTTCATCGTGACTTAGCTGTTTTCCCCCTTTCTACCTGTCAAGATGCTTGCCATTCTTCAGAGCTTCTATCCAAGCCCCTTTCCTCTGCCTGCTTTCTCTGTGGGGGTTGTACCATGGAGGAGAAAGTGAAGTGACAATGAGTTATAGTAATATCCTCGAATCATGTTCCATATCCATCATTAGGAAGAGTTGTATAACCTTGTGACGCGATTTTGTTTTCATTAAGTTGGGTATCATGTAAATCACTTCTTTACCTTTCTTTACAAGGATTAAATGTAGTAACATATGGAAATTACTTTATAAAATATAAAATACTATATAATCTTCATCATTATTATTCCAATCTCTTGTTTTTGGTCAAATTTTGTTAGTGTCTACTATTTTTTTTCGTGTACAATAGTGTTACCTCCCCAACAATATTCTGCATACCTTAAGAGGAGAGGCGATGTCTTATGATGTTTCATTATCCCCCAGCCATGCCTAGAAAGCTATGATGGGCACATTATTAAATATTGAGCATTCTAGGTCTATCCAGAGTCTTTTCTCTTCTTCAGCTTCATCCTTCTGAAGAAGTTTGAAATACAGCTTGCTGAGTTTTAAACTGGAGAGTACTTTTTATTGTGACTGTCAGTCGATTAAGAATTCTTGCACAGCCTGACACCTCAAGGCTGAGTAGCTCTCCGGGCAAACAATGTGGCAGAGAAGGACATTCCAGACAGAGCATAACATGAGCCAAGGCAGAGACGCCTAAAAGCAGGGCAAGGTAGAAGGTGTAAGGAAGTTTGCAATGGTTGCAGGCCTGGCTGATGGTGTTGGTAGTGATGGGAACTGAGATGGGAAAGGTTGTCAAAGGCCTGATGCTCATGGGCTTATGGTAACCATGCCAATGGGGAGATACTGAAGGATTTAGGCAGGGGATGTCAAGTATCAAACAGGATCTATTAAATAGATTATTGTAATGTAGTCACTCATAGAGGATAGCAAATAAGAATGTTTCATGTGGTAAGCCTTTCACATGTAACTCACATTTATTATAATTTTGAAACTTGATATTCAGGGCACAGTGAACATTGTAAAACCTACCAGGGTAAGCTTATGATTAATCTCTCTGTTATTCGGAAAGTGTATACTAGTGGGTATCAGTTGGACTGTGATCAAGAATAGTAAAGATGTGATAATAGATGGGATGTTTTAGCAATTTCACTTAGCATAAGCAATTAGACAAAATAGCCACATTCTTATGATGTTACATCTCAGAGTTCCAGCGTTAATGGAGTCTCATCGATTAGATTTCTACTTCCAGAGTAGGGGTTGTTTCTTTAAAGATGGATGTTTTATAGATTCCTTTCTGTACCATTTATTTGTAAATATTTAATTACAGGAAAGATTATTTCTACTAATTATCTGCTCTCAATCTTTTCTGTTTGCCTTTTAGCACATCCACACCCACTGTAAGATTGTTAATGAACTGAGCAAAGGAAAATATGAGCTTTTGGCCAATATCTGCTTTTTAAACTTTTGCCTTAAGTATTTGATGCAATGCTGCTGCTTACTTGTCTGCTTTGGATAATCTT